CCAACGAGCAATGGCAAGACCCGGCAGTACAGAGCATTTCCGACCGGGAGACCGTATGGAAGGAGAAGGAGCTCCACGGGAGGTACTACAAGGCTCTGCATGAGCCTTTCGTAGATACAGTTGCCTCCCTTTACTGGCTACGTTCTGGTGACCTCTTCGGGGAAACCGAGGGTTTTGTCTGTGCAATACAGGATCAGGTTATTAAGACCAACAACTATCGGAGATACATCCTAAGGGATGGCACCGTCGACATTTGTCGAGCTTGTCGCCATCCCGGTGAATCACTTAGGCATGTCATCTCCGGTTGTTCGGCGCTTTCTAACTCTTGAGTACTTGCATAGGCACAACCTAGTAGCCAGGATTCTACACCAGGAGCTCGCTCTGAAATACGGTCTCGTGGATCGGAAACTGCCTTATTATAAGTACATGCCGGAAGCCGTGCTCCAAAATGACCGCGCCAGGCTCTACTGGGACCGGGCCATCATCACAGACAGGACCATTCTTGCGAATAAGCCTGATATTGTGCTGATGGACCGGTCACAGTCAAGGATATTTTTGGTCGACATTACCATTCCGTATGACGAGAACCTCGTGAAAGCCGAAACAGATAAGCGAACAAAATATCTGGACCTGGCTCAATATCTGGACCTGGCTCACGAGGTGACCGACATGTGAGGTGGACTGCCGGCCGAAATTATACTTGTAGTCGTTTCTGCGAACGGGTTAATCCCAGTCAGCCTCAGTCATCTGAGGCGACTGGGACTCCGTGACGGACCGCTCCAAGCTCAAATGCAGAATGCGGTGCTCCTCGATACCGCCCGCATCGTCCGCCGGTTTCTTTCCCTTTCCCCCTAACCCTCGGCCGTCTGGTCTCCCCTGCCGAGAGCTTCCATCTGGTTGGGTTTTTATTTATTTATGTATTTTTTATGCATTTATTTTATTTTCTTGATATTTATGTATGTTTATCATTTTCATTTACAATTATATATTTATACAGCCCAACCAGATGAGTAAACTATATAGATGCCCCAAATAATAATAATGGCATTTTTCAGGGAGAATCATTGAGCCCACTGTGGTTTTGTCTGGCTCTTAACCCTTTATCTTCTTTGCTCAACAAAAACAATCATGGGTATAAATTAACTAAAGACACCTATGTCAATCATTTAATGTATGTGGATGATATAAAGCTTTTTGCCAAATCAGAAAAAGAAATGAATACCCTCGTAAAAATTACAGCTGAGTACAGTAAAGATATAAACATGACCTTCGGTTTAGATAAATGCAAAACACTTAAACTTCATAAAGGTAGAGTCCAATGTAATACAGAAAGTCAATACGATATGTTTACATTGATGGACCAAAATGATACATATAAATATCTAGGTTTACGTGAAGGAAGATGTATAGACCATACTGCTATTAAAAAGGACCTCAGTAATGAATATTTCCGCAGGTTGAATCTAATTTGTAAAAAGCAACTTAATTCTAGAAATTGATTCAAAGCTATTAACACTTTTGCCATCCCAATACTTACCTATTCTTTCGGAGTTATTAAATGGTCATCCACAGATATACGAAATCCGGAAATCAAAACTAGGACTACAATGACTAAACACAAATATCTGCATCCTAAATCGGCAATTGAACGACTTACGATAAAGAGAGCCATAGGGGGTAGGAGTCTGATCGATCTTAAAAGGCCATGGGAAGGGCAAATCAAAAACTTGCAATCTTTCTATTATGAAAAATCAGCTAACAGCCCGTTACATAAAGCAGTTATTGAATCCGATATCAATTATACCCCTCTTAATTTAAGTAAACAAGACAATAGATCTACTACAGTAATTGACCATGAAAAAGAAAAGCTATCAAAGTGGCGTAGTAAAGAATTACATGGTAGACATGCACACGATTTAGAACAACCCCACGTCGACTTACTGGCTTCAAATAAATGGTTAAAACTAGGTTCTCTTTTTCCTGAAACTGAAGGTTTTCTTATTGCTATTCAGGATCAAGTAATCAATACAAGAAACTATAAAAAATATATATTAAACGACCCAAACATGCAGAACGATAGCTGTAGAAAATGTCACCGCCTACCCGAAACTATACAACATATCACCAGTGCTTGTCTTAGCCTAGCACAAACTGATTACACCCACCGGCATAACCAGGTTGCTAATTACGTTCATCAAAAGCTTGCAAATAAATACAATTTTATCCCGAACCAACTACTATTGCCATACTATCAATATACCCCTAAACCTGTTCTGGAGAGCGACAGTCACAGAATGTACTTTGATAGAGCTATTCTTACCGATAAAACGATTCATTACAATAGACCGAATATAACTTTAATTGACAAATTAAATAAAATAGTATACCTAATTGATATAGCAATCCCAAATACCCATAATCTACAAAAAACCATTACTGAAAAAATTCTTAAATACACAGAACTAAAAGAAGAAGTAACTAGAATCGGGAAAATGAACAAAGTATACATTGTGCCGCTGGTGGTCTCCAGTACTGGTGTGATCGCGAAATGTTTGCCCCACTCCCTTAAACTATTAGATCTACCTGAAAATAGTTATATTACCATGCAAAAAGCAGTCATCCTCAACACTTGTCGTATAGTCCGAAGTTTTTTGCAAGAAGACACCTCAAATTTTGATTCCCAAAGGGACGCGCACTTGGCTTAGGCCCGTGAGCATTTCTTAAAAACCAAGATCTTAGAAAATCTTGAGAATAAAAGGAGTATATTAATCTATGTTAAGTTTTTGGTACAGAGAAATGAATCTATGCTATAAAAGTTATTCTGACTTAGCCATTTGTACAACGTATGTTTAAACATATTGATATTGAGCATTTTAATATATCTAGGAATCTTGTTATATATTTTGACACCCATACAGAGGCAACTTTTTGCATTCTTATCCGACCTTGGAATGTCATTATATATCAATCTGTGAGGATCTCTCAATCTAAAATTATTAGCTTTGTTAAATAATTCTGTGTTTTTGTGTACAAAAACCGCAACTTCATAAATATAAAGTGATGGTAGTGCCAATAATTCGAGACTTTTATACAGTGGTTTACAGGAAACGTCAGGTAAAACTCCACATATGGCTCTAATGCATCTTTTTTGAGCTATAAATGCTCTGTTTTTGTCCGTACTGTTGCCCCATAGTAAAATGCCGTAGCGCAATATCGATTCTATGTAGGCGCGATACGACATAATAGCGGTCTTTTTGTCGGTTATGGTCCTAACGCGTTTAAGAGCATATACGAACTGATTAATTCTGTTACACAAATGGTCTATATGTATTTTCCAATTCAAGTTCTCGTCAATAGTTATACCTAAGAATTTCAATTATTGTACTTTTTTTATCTTTGTCACATTTAGATTAAAATTGTGCTGCTTATGTTTTGATTTATTGAATTGTATATAGTATGATTTATCAAGATTAATATTTAAATTATTTGCTTTAAGCCATTCGATTATTATGTCAATAGTATTATTAATGTCACATTCATGATTATGCAAAGAGACATTGTTTTTAGATTCGTTAGATGTAATAATTATGGATATATCGTCAGCATATAAAGTACATTGATGTTTTGTTACTTCTGTTATGTCATTAATGTAAAGTATGAATAGAATGGGTCCAAGTACGCTTCCTTGTGGGACACCAGTGCTGCATTCTCTATATTCAGACGAAATAGAACTAATTTCATTATTAAATATTTTTTTGAGGACAACTTTTTGTTTACGCCCACTTAGATAAGACGATATCCATAATAATGGGGGTCCTCTGATTCCGAGAGATTCCAGTTTGCTCACAAGAGTTTTATGTGCAACGAAATCAAATGCCTTTGATAAGTCAATAAAGAATACAGTAGTTGGATAATTGTTATTAAAGCTGGTCAATATTTTATTTATTAGGTTAAATACTGCTAAAGTTGTTGATTTTTCTTTCTGGAAGCCAAATTGTTCCTTTTTTATAATATTATACTTAGAGCAAAAACTCATAAGCCTTTTTAACATGCACTTTTTAAATAACTTTGAAAGAATCGGTATTAATGTTATAGGGCGTTAGTTTGCTGGATGTTTTTTATCCCCCTTTTTGTACAGTGGTTTGACTAAAGATAGCTTTAACTTATCTGGAAATATAACTGCAGAAAAGGACAAGTTTATGAGATATGTATGGATATCGACTATTTCAGTGACGCACGTTTTTAATATATTAGTGGATATACTATCATATCCTTCGGCTTTTGTGTTTTTTAGACTCATAATTTCCTTTTTTACTTCTTCCACCGTCATTGGTTTTAAGTACATTGAGTTAATTGTTGTCCCCTTTTGCTTAAATTTTGGAGTGTTAATTGATACAGTGTCAGTCGTGTTAATAAAGTAGTCGTTAAAGGCAGTAGCTATATCAGCAGGGTTTGTTATTGTTTCATTTTTTATATTTAATTCAGTAATGTCGTCATCTATTTTTATATTTGTTATTTCATTTTTTATCACTGACCATGTTGCTTTACATTTCTTTTTACTACGATTTATAAATTTAATGTTTGTTTTTCTTTGAGAGTTATTAATGCATTTTTTTAATAATTTAGAGTAGGCCATGTACGCGTCTTTATTTACTGATGTTTTATTATTGTAATAGTTATAGCGAAGATATCTTTTTTTTTAAATATATATAATAAATTATAAAATAAAAATAACATATCGTGAAAATTTGTAAAAGCTATGTTCGCGTCAAACTCGTCGTAGACTTCAGACCATGATAAGTTGTTAATGCAATTTTTGAACTTTTTTATATTTTCAATAGTCTCTTTTATAAACAAAGTGTGACTTGGGTGTAATTTTTGGTCCCTTTATGGGAAAAGTTAATAGCTGAGCTGTGTTAATACTTCTTGAAAGTAGTTGGTTTGACATTGAAGGTGAGTTATCCAAAGATATATTATGTAGGGTAAGTACATGTGAGTCTTCAGAATGGCATGATGTGTTTTTTGGTGTCGACTGTATTGGCATTTGCGTAACGACGGGTGAGTTTTTCTTGGCAATTTCTGGCGTAAATGGTTTTTTCCTCGTTGTAACGAAAGAAGGCTCTGTGTGACTTGGCTTTGAGTTTTCTTTGCATATTTTGCACATCCATTTTTTTTCTCGAGTCTATGTCTTTTAACAAGTATAGTTTTTCAGAGTAACCGGTGCAGTCAAATTCAAAATATTTTTTGCATCGTGAACAAAGTAATGCTTTTTTCGATTCAATTTTCTGTTTACATATTTCACATGTTACCATTGGTGACATCTTGTGAACGGCTTTTGAATTGGTTTGCTGCACTTTCGTTGTTTTGTTGCTCAGCATTGTAAAATTATGATAATTATTATATTTTTATTAACTTATGTGCGTTGTTGATAGATGTCACCGTTATAATAATAAGGAAAATAAAATCTAATACAAAACCTTTTAGTGCCTCGCTCTGGATGTATTTATTTTGATTTGAATAATACTGTTATTGCTATCACCCAGTGGATTATCTGAGTCAATTTTTTTTGTGGATTAATATCGGTAAAAATTAATCATCAGATTAGTTTAGCTACTCCAAAAACAGATGTCACTGTACTGTCTCTATGTCGGTAAAACCATTCATCAGATTTGTTTAATTACTCTACAACAGATGTCACTGTACTGTCTGTTTTATATAGTATGGGTCAGTGTCGATAATAACATTGTACATTTCAAATCAAATAACAGCTGATTTTTGTACACATAATAGTATTAATGAATTTCCAGACAAATTTTAGTATTTATTTATTCCACTAACCTTCGTAATAGAAAAGGGTAGGCCCTTTGGCACTACAGTCCATTAAAATACAGTTATATCTTCGTCCTGGTGTTAAAATTGAAAATATCACTGCACTTAATATTTCGTCGTTTTCTTTGTTATTTATGTACACTCTTGATAGATAATGATTGTGCTTATTGGTTTATTCCTACTATAACTATAATATCAAGTTTAGGTGGGAAATTGCACTTTTTATATTTTAAATTGACAAAAATACACGAAGCCTATGTTTACTGTGGCACACTAGCGACACCTCACATTAAAGTTGTATATCGTCATACATCCTAAATAATGTAATAAAATATTGTTTTAATAAACACTAGGTACGTACCTCAGATTGTATTGTTCCTTCAAAGTTATCCTGAGTTTCGGTGCTTCGTGTAATAGATTTTAATAATGTATCCATTGCATAGTACCATTTTAAAGAAGGCACGTAAACTTCGTTACTTCCATTGCCAGACTTTTGAGATTTTTTTATTTTGATTCGTTCTTGGTTATAAGTACATCGGAGGTTTTTGATTTTTTGTTTTAATTCAGAAACTCCAAAATTTTCCTTGCTCATTGCACGAATAATATATTCATAGGCAGCATTCCTTTTGTTCTTATCTTTATAATCACGGTGACTTATATCCCAGATACACGGAAACTCCCCGTAAAGCTCCACTAGTTTTAAAGTTTCTGATTCAGCCCACTTCATGATATTTTTTTTATAAATCACTACTACTTAAAAATCTGCGTACAACTTTAGTAAACAATGCCATGTGCTTTTTGTAAACAAGTCTAAACTAGTTACTCTACTAACCGTTTACATAGGTCGAGTACTCGGTAGAGTAGAGTGGACGCCGGGGTGGGGGAAGGAAAGTGGTAGAGTAACTCTCCCACGGTGCTAGCCTACTCTACTCTACCAAATGTCATTACTCTACTCTACCAGCGGTGGCTACATAAGTATAGTAAGTAGGATAGTTAGAACTCTACCGCTCTATTTTACCGTTTACTCTACCCGTGTCCAGGAGCCTTTAGAGCTTAATGAACAAGATAATATAATTTTATTCATTTATAGATTTCATAATTACTTCGGCGGACTGATAGGTTTTGATTTACTTGACATATGGGGTTCTAATATCGATCTTAGAAATAAATAATAGGTTCGGCCTCACATGGAATACTGTTCCCATCTCTGGGCAGGGGCTCCCCAGTGCCAGCTCCTTCCACTTGACCGCATCCAGCGCAGAGCGGCTCGAATCGTCGACGACCGAGCCCTTTCCGATCGGCTCGATTCATTGGCACTGCGAAGAGATGTTGCATCTCTTTGCATTTTCTTTCGCATCTACCATGGGGAGTGCTCTGAGGAATTGTTCGGATTAATCCCAGCCGCCAAATTTCACGAACGCACATCGCGGCAGAACTCCCGATACCATCCACACCATCTGGATGATTGGCGGTCCACCACTGTGCGATTTAGAAGATGTTTTCTTCCTCGCACAACTTCCTTGTGGAATAGTTTACCACCAGGGATTTTTCCGGACCGATACGACTTAGGGACCTTCAAGAAAAGAGCCTACTCCTTTTTAAAAGGCCGGCAACGCATCTGCAATTCCCCTGGTGTTGCGGTTGTTCATGGGCGGCGGTAGTCACTTACCATCAGGTGAGCCGCATGCTCGTTTGCCCCCTCTCCTATAAAAAAAAAAAAAAAAAAAAAAACTACTTATTACTCGTAACGCAAAAATTCCCATCGATATGTATGACTCACGTAACGCAAATTTATATCATGAAATTATACCAGCGCAGTCATCAAACTTAGTAGTTGAAAATCAAATAATTTTGTAACTGCATAAATTCTGATTGTTTAAAAAAAAGTAGTCTAATAATCGTGATTGGGTTGAAATTACTAATAAACAGCTCAAATAATGTAATTTTTTCAATTGACCATCCGGTAGAAGCCGAAATATTTAATGTCGAGTGCCAGTTTACTCAAACATTATCGGATCGCGCTAAAAACGTTTTATCCCATTTTCCCACTGATCATCTTAATCCTGAAGAGCTAGCAAACCTACAACGTGTTTTACCTTGAAGGTGAACCCTTAGCATTCATCAACAGGATCAAACATACTATTAAAACGCATGACGAAATTTCTGTACATACCAAGAATTACAGATATCCGTATGTCCATCGACAAGAAGTCCGGGATCAATAAGATGCTCGAGCAAAATATAATTAGACCATCTGATTATGCCTGGAGCTGTCCCATTTGGATTGTACTCAAAAAGACGGTCTATGACAAACACCCTGTTCCTAATATAACCGATGTGCTGGATAAACTGGGCAAATGTCAGTATTTTACCACGCTCGGATTAGCCAGTGGATTTTATTTTATTTTATATAGGTAGAGATAGATTCCGCGGATATTCACAAAACTGCTTTTAATGTAGATAATGGGCATTTTGAATTTCTCAGGATGCCAATGGGCCTTAAAAATAGTCCATCAACCTTCCAGAGGTTGATTGACCACGTATTAAAGAACCTACAGAATGAAATTTGCTTAGCGTATCTGGATGACATAATTGTCTTCAGTACATCCTTACAAGAACATATGACTAATCTGGAAAAAGTATTCAAAAGGCTGCGGGAATCCAACTTCAAAATTATAATGGATAAATCAGAGTTTTTGAACCTGGAAATCGAGTTTTAGGTCATTTTATTTATAAAGACGGGGTTAAAGCCAACCTCATTATTGTTAAATTTATATTAAATAAAAATTGATATTTTTTGCAATTTGCTTACTTCAATATTTTCTGACCTGGCCAACAAACTATGTTTGAGATATCAGAATCTACGAAAAATTACAAGAAAAACTGTTTTTATTTTATAATATCATATTTCATATTTCTCATATTTTCAATTCTTTGTTAATAGATTATTCCTTATGCCTTTTGAAAGGTGTAGGGGATCATATAGAGGTATTATTTCTTTTTCATTAATAAAGTCATATTAATAAATATGACTTCTTCTTTGGGCTCTTCATTTCTTCTTAAGTATATACCCCTGGTCTCTTCTAACAATAATTTTATAGCCTCGCGATTATTCGTTACCTGATCAATATGGAGGCTACTATTGTTATACTCGTAGTAGCCTCCATATTGATCCTGCATCTTGTGATTTGTGTACCACATTTCTTAATTGTTTTGCCAATTCGGGTCCTTTTGATGCTCCTGCAGAAAAAGTATAGGCAACAACTTGTTTAAAATTGTGCATTAAGCCTCGCAACATCAAATCTTGTACATGTTTTGCAAATTTGAGTATTTTTGTTGACCGTTATGAACAAATCCTGTTACGATATTTTTCCTCTCATAGCAGGTTAAACCAGGTTTGAGAGATACTTCATCAAACAATATAACTGAAAGCTTTTCATCAGAAGTCATAGAATTAGATTTTATTTTTAATTTCACAAATAAGTTTGTGTTGATGCCTGGATGGAGGATTGTTTTTTGTAAAACTTTGATTAATGTTTGTGGAGCAGGTAAAATATTTTTTTTTCTCAAGAATCTGAATCCCTTAGGACTTTGTTTCAATATTGCCAAGCGATTAATGTTTTCTTGTAATGTGAAATCGACCTTTAAATTTCTTGCTATTTTCACGTCATTGAATTTGCATAAGAATTTTGGCTGCGGTTGTACAATTTTCCATCGCATTTAAAATTTCAGGATTTGTTGCAAATTTCCTAGCAGCTCTCAATTCCTGGATACTTTTTTTCTGCAAAATAAACAAAGTATCGGGTTTTATTCTAAAAATAATTTATTATTCTTTCTTTACACAGATAAAAATTAAACAAATTACAATCGCAATTATAATTAAAATAATTATAATATTATTTTTTTAATATTTATTATTTATTATTAAAAAATTATAAATTATATCGTTTTAAACTCAAGAACCTGGTCTAGAATAATTTATATATTTAATTAAAATTAATAACTTCATTAAATTGGACTTTGGGGCAATGAAGTCGTCGCCGTTGCCGTTATCCGATTCGGCCATGGAGTAATAAGTGCAAAAAAATTCTAACGGGGCATTTCACTGCGGTTAATTGCCTAATCTGGTAACAGAAGAGCTGACTCATTTTTGGCGCAAAGGATCAGCCTGACTGTCCCGCGCGGAAATGCACCCAGAATTCTTGCCACCATTCAATGCGGACATGATTTGTACACTAATTAGTTATAAGACTAGAGTAGCTTGTTATTAATTTTATTACAACAATTTTTATATAAAAAAAGTTAAAATTATTTTAACATTTTGTTGAGAAACATTTCTTTCAATGTCTGAGGAATATAGAGCCAATCGTAGCTATACTTGAATATGTTTGCCTCTACTGATGAATCTGGAATTGTACAAAATAACATTATAACAATTTCATTATTTATTTATTCTTAATTGTACACCTTAACATAAACTTTAAACATGTTAGAGCCACGCTGCAGCTATTTATATATTATGGTTGTGTGCAAATGGGTCGGCTCGACCGGGATAGGACCGCGCTCTCGCAGAATATCAGCATAAAATAACAACTTAATGCTGCTGTGTTTTGTATGGTGAGTGTAGAGAACCGGAGACCCTTTTTACTAGAAACGAGGCATTCCATCTTAGTATTCGGGGTGACAATGTATCTTCATTTTTATTCTTAAACGAGAATAAAGGTAGATGTATATTGGCCACAACACCCACTTATCATTAGGTGGACAGTGTGCTCATTTATCACCCGTATTCTATAAAAAAAAACTTATAAATAAACTTACAACAAAGGTAACTAAATTATTATATTGACCATACTAACTAAGAACCGATGTCATTAAAAAGTATTCACGCACTAATATTTTAAAGGCAGTCTTATTAGGTGTTTTTTCTAACGTCTTTGAACAAGAAATTCCAAGTCCGAAAGGTGAAGAATTCTCCAACGAATTTTGTGAAATATAAAGGGATCCTTTATTTACAATTAGACGAGGAACGCAGAGTTACCATGCATTTAGGAAAGGTATTCAAATTAGTCCTTGAGATAAGAAGGTGTGGTTGGGTCATTTTAGAAATTTTATAGTCCAAATTCTATAGTCACACCATTGTTTTATAAGTGAGCTAGAGCTTAACAAGTAATTATAAGAGTCTGGACCAAGTGTGGAATCCATACCTAATTTAGTGAATTCTATTAGTTAGAATACCACATAATATAATGTTGACTTGACTCCAGTATACATGTTGAATAATTGTGAATAAAAATAATAAAATAATAGTGATTTATATTAGATACAGTCGTATAAAAAATATTTTGTGCTACATGGCTTTACATTTGCTAATCAGTTTTTGACTACATTGAAAAGAAATGAATACCAACCAATATTTCCCTTTTGTAAGCTAGCTTCCAGCATGCTCATTTTCATACATGAAGAACACAAATTTTGACAATCTAAAATAATAAAAATAAGGTCAAAAGTTATAATTATTTTGATGATGAACAAGGCAGTACGGGCATCTCGAAATATTAACTATCGTAATAATGATACTATCATTATTACGATAGTTAATATTTCGAGCTTAAAGGCTGCCCCAGGCATTATGTTAATATCATCTGCATGAAAATAGATCATAATTTCAGATTGAACATTTTTAGTACCCTTACCTAAGTAGTGCCCAAAGGATATGTATTTTGA